CGCCTCTTCGCCCTGCAGGTCATCCATATTCCCTGTGTACCTGGGTCCTCTCCCTCTCTCAGAGTGTTCACCTCATCGGACTCCATCTGGAGCTGGCTGGAGTCTAGGTCGCCCCCAGTGGGGAAGAGGCTCTCAGGGGTCGCCGTCATCCTGGGAATATGGGGAAGCCTAAGGGAGGCAAGCTGCCCTGCAGAACCCGCCCCGCTATCCTAAATCTCGCAGCCCTCCCTCTGTTGCAGGTCCTCCCCTTCCCCCACGGACTCCTGACCACCCCTCTGACGACGCCTGGCCAGTTTGCAACGCCCCACCGACCCCCTTCTGGGCTCCATTCCCTACCTTAATCCCTCATCCGCAATCCCAGTCCCAGTCCCGAGCCCCCGCCCCATCCCGTAACCAGAGCCCCGGGGAACACCCAGCCAGGCCCGGAAGGCTCCGACTTGGGGCCGCGCAGCAGCTGTGCCGGGAAGCGGCCCCGGGTGCTCGAGAGAGCGCGGAGCTGCGGCGCTCACGCCAGGCAGGGGAGCCGGGGCAGGGGTCCAGGCGGGAATGAGGAAGTTACGCGATCCCCGCCGAGGGCGGGGAGCAACCCCGAAATCTGAGTGTGAAGCTGAGTGTGGAGGCCCCGCAGCCCGAGCCCGTTCCCTCCCCCCACGATTTCCTGGGCCCGGCACCCCTGCGCGCCCCTTCACGGCCCCTCACCCTGGCAGTCGGAGCGGGCGCCCGCGCGGGTTCCCGAAGCCAGGAGAGCAGAGCGGAGTAGCAGCTGGAGCCCACGCCCCAGCGGGCCGGGGCGGGGCCGGGGCTCAGGGCCTGCCCTCGGGGGCGGGACGGCCCCCGGCCTCACCTCCGCGGGATTCTCGTCTGTCCTGTCCCGCCCCCGCCGCCCTCGACCCGCCCCGTCGCCCCGCGTGCCGCCGGGAGCCCGGGGGCCGCCCTGTGCCCTGCGGGCCCGCACGATCCCCTCGGTGCGGCTGGCAAGTGCTGCCCGGCGTCGGGGCGTCCAGTGTTGTCGGTCCCAGCGTGCCCGGCCGCCGCCTCCCAGGACCCACTCTGCGCGCATCCCTCCGCTCGGTGCCAGTCCCGGGACCCTCTAGCCGCGGACGCTGCCTGGGTCCCGGGGGACGCGCCTCCGCTGCAGGAGCTGGCGATGGGTGCCCCACTCCCGAGCCCGCTGCGAGCCACGTTCGGCCTAGCCCGGATAGCGTTTGTACCTGGAAGGCATGAGGGCGTAAAAGGCCCGAGGGCTGGTGGCTATAAACCCATTAGTGAATGAGAGCGGGCATTCTTTCATTCATTCACCAAACATTTATTGCGTGCTTACTCCGTGCCAGACACTGAGAGTAAGGTAGTATATAAGATGGTTATGGAGCTTGCTTCGCTGGAATTGGCAGTCTAAGGGGAAACAAAATCTCTTCGGGTATTTCAATCTTTTTTAAAAGCCGATTTATTTGTCTCTTCTTTTGATAGACAAATGGGTTTCTAGTTTTGTCCGTTGTCAATAAAGCGCTTGCAGGCCGAGGTGGCTCACAGCTGTAATCCCAGCACTTTGGGAGCCAAAGCAGGCGGATCACGAGGTCAGGAGTTCGAGAGCAGCCTGGCCAACATAGTAAAACCTCGTCTCTACTTTAAAAATACAAAAATTAGCCGGGCATGGTGGCGCACGCCTGTAGTCCCAGCTACTTTGGAGCCTGAGGCAGGAGAATTGCATGAACCCAGGAGGCAGAGGTTGCAGTGAGCAGAGATTGTGCCACTGCACTCCAGCCTGGGTGACAGAGTGAGACTCCATCTCAAATAAACAAACAAATAAAAATGAAGCTCCTACAAACATTCCTGTAAGTCTGTGTGGATAGTTTTCATTTATCTGGGGTAAGTAGGGAGTGGAGTTGTTCTATCATATAAGTGTATGTTTAATTTACAAGAAACTCCCAAGCGATTTTTTCGAAATGGTTGTTCCATTCTAGATTTTTTCTTTTTTGAGACGGAGTTTCACTGTTGTTACCCAGACTGGAGTACAATGGCACGATCTCGGCTCACCGCAACCTCCGCCTTCTGGGTTCAAGCAATTCTCCTGCCTCAGCCTCCCGAGTAGCTGGGACTACAGGTGCGCACCACCATGCCCAGCTGATTTTTTTTTTTTTTTTTTTGTATTTTTAGTAGAAATGGGGTTTCACCTTGTTGGCCAGGATGGTCTCAATTTCTTGACCTCGTGATCCACCCGCCGAGGCCTCCCAAAGTGCTGGGATTATAGGCGTGAGCCACTGCGTCCGGCCTCCATTCTAGATTTTTCCGGGCTCAAACAATCATCCCGCTTCAGCCTCCCAAGTAGCTGAGACTGCAGACACATACCACCGTGCCCAGCTAATTTTTAAATTTTTTTGTAGGGACAAGGTCTCACCATGTTGTGCAGGCTGATCTTGAACTCTTGGACTCAAGGGAACCTCCTGCCTTGGCCTTCTAAAGTGCTGGGATTACAGGTGTGAGCCACAGTGCCTAACCTATATACTTTTTTTTTCTTTTTTTTTTTTTTGAGTCTTGCTCTTGTTGCCCAGGCTGGAGTGCAACGGCATGATCTTGGCTCACTGCAACCTCCACCTCTCAGGTTCAAGCGATTCTCCTGCCTCAGTCTCCCAAGTAGCTGAGATTGCAAATGCCTGCCATGACACCTGGCTAATTTTTTGTATTTTTAGTAAAGATGGGGTTTCACCATGTTGGCCAGGCTGGTCTCAAACTCCTGACCTCCCTCAGATGATCTGCCCTCTTTGGCCTCTCAAAGTGCTGGGATTACAGGCATGAGCCACCCCACACTTGGTTATAAACTTCTAAAACAGGGAAAAACAATCTATAGTGATGGAAATCAGATCAGTAGTTGCCTGTGGCAGGTGCAGAGAAAAGATTGCCTGTAAAGGGACATGTGAGGGAATATTCCAGGATGATGAGAATGTCCTATATTTTGATAGAAGTGGTGACTGCATGGGAGCATACACTTAATAATACTCATAGAACTATATGTTAAGATGTCAAGCTGGGCGCGGTGGCTCAAGCCTGTAATCCCAGCACTTTGGGAGGCCAAGGCGGGTGGATCACGAGGTCAAGAGATCGAGACCATCCTGGTCAACATGGTGAAACCCCGTCTCTACTAAAGATACAAAAAATTAGCTGGGCATGGTGGTGCGTGCCTGTAATCCCAGCTACTCAGGAGGCTGAGGCAGGAGAATTGCCTGAACCCAGGAGGTGGAGGTTGCGGTGAGCCGAGATCGCACCATTGCACTCCAGCCTGGGTAACAAGAGCAAAACTCCGTTTCAAAAAAAAAGATGTCTGCATTAAATTGTATGTACATTTTGCTTCAATAAAGTTCACTGAAATAAAAACAGATTTCTGTCTAACTCTGGCAGTACTGTGTAATCAACAGAGCAACCTGACATTTCCCACATTGTGGTACCCTTGGGGAATGATTAAACAGCATTTGCACAGCTTTACTTAAGGGCACTCAGAGTCCTTGGCTAGGGTGCTCTGGACTAGATGTTTCCAGCCTCGGTTCTGGCTACCCCAAACTGGCTGAGGGCATCGATTCTTGGGAACATGCTTCAGAAGCTCAGTGTGGTGGTTAAAAGAGTAGATTCTGGGCTGGGTATGTGGCCAATGCCTATAATCCTGGCACTTTGGGAGGCCGAGGTGGGCAGATCACTTGAGGTTAGGAGTTCGAGACTAGCCTGGTTAACATGATGAAACCCCATCATTAAATAGAAAAATAGAAAATATGGCTGGGCATGGTGGCAAGTGCCTGTAATCCCAGCTACTCAGGAAGCTGAGGCAGGAGAATCACTTGAGCCCAGGAGGCGGAGGTTGCAGTGAGATGAGATTGCACCACTGCACTCCAACCTGGGCAACAGAGCAAGACTCTGTCTCAAAAGAAAAGCTGGGCTTGGTGGCTCAAGCCTCTAATCCTGGCACTTTGGCAGGCCGAGGCAGGTGGATCAGGAGGTCAAGAGATGGAGACCATCCTGGCCAAGGTAGTGAAACCCTGTCTTTACTAAAAATACAAAAATTAGCTGGGCGTGGTGGCATGTGCCTGTAGTCCCAGCTACTTGGGAGGCTGAGGCAGGAGAATTGCTTGAACCCAGGAGGCGGAGGTTGCAGTGAGCCGAGATTGTGCCACTGCACTCCAGCCTGGTGCCTGGCGACAAAGTGAGACTCTGTCTCAAAAAAAAAAAAAAAAAAAAAAAAAAGAAAAGAGTAGATTCTGGGGTCAGATGGATTCAAGGTGAGGGTTTCAAGGTGGGCATGGTTTCTATTCTGCTAATAACTGCCTGTGTGACCTTGGGCAAATTATCTTACCTCTCAATGCCTCCCTTTCCTCATCTGTAAAACCAGGATAGACTTACCTAACCAGTGAGCGACTTATCTCCAAAGATCTTTGACATGATTAAGTGAAAAGAGATAACATGTAAAAGTCCCTAGAATTTACCTGACAGCATAATCAATCAATTACAACCATCTTCATAACAGAGGACAGGAACTATCAGACCCTTTGATGAGAACATAACATTTCCCTGGATAATAAAGTTTCTCATTCTAAAAAAAATAGAGTATTCTTTAAAAGTTTACATCTTGGGCCCTTCAACTCTCATTCTAAAATACAAACGAATCCCCAGCAGTGTCCATCCTGGCACCAAGTTGTCGGGCACTGCTGCAGTGAAATTTCACTGCATGTCATAGCACCTTTGCATCCGACCTTGCCGTGCCACCTCTCCCAACCACCTCCTGCTTCTCCATGGGAATCAGAGAGGACCCCCAAATTAATGGGGCATAAAAATAGGTGTTTGATGGGAGTATGCCCCCATTCCTTTCTTCCTCCCTCCTCTCCCCTCTTCTATCCTTGGCGCCTTATAATCACCAGGCGGTCTGAGGCTAAGTGGTAGTTTTGCCCATGGTGGGGGGGCTTGGAAACCACACCCCTTTCCCGGGGGCCTCCTGGCCATTCCCAGCTCCGATCGCCTCCACTGTTGAGATGGGTCTGAAGGGGGCATGGTGTTTCCCATGGTTCGGGTGCCGGAGACAGCGAGGGACTGAAAGAGAAGCAGGTATGGGGTGGAAAATGGGGGCTGTCAGGCAGACAGACAGAAGCATTGCTGGGAAAGAGAAATGCTCAAACAAGCAAAGGGAAAAGGATCATCTGTCTCCCTGGGTGGGAAGTGGATCTCACAGGACTGGCTAAATACTTTGTAGGGCCCAGTGCTTGTTGAAAATTTAAGAATTTCGGCCAGGCATGGTGGCTCAGGCCTGTAATCCCAGCGCTTTGGGAGGGCAAGGCGGGTGGATCAGGAATTTGGGACCATCCTGGCTAACATGGTGAAAACCCATTTCTACTAAAAATACAAAAAAATTAGGGGGGCTTGGTGGTGTGCATCTGTAATCCCAGCTACTCGGGAGGCTGAGGCAGGAGAATCACTTGAACCCGGGGGGCAGAGGTTGCATTGAGCCAAGATTGCGCCATTGCACTCCAGCTTGGGCAACAAGAGCAAAATTCCATCTTAAAAAAAAAAAAAGAATTTCAAAATTTTGAGATGGTGACATGGTGGCCCTTCTGAGTCAGGGGATCCTATGCAATGCACAGGTAACATTCATGTGAGCCAGCCCTGCTTGCTGCACCAGCCCCTCTCCCTCTCCCTGCTGCTGCCACCAATGCTCCTCACTGCCCCCAGGCCCCAGGTGTCTTCCCTCGCTTCTTCTCTCCTTAACCCTGGGTGAGGGGTGAGGGAGGAGGAACCCTGACCTACAACTTTCTTCTTCCTCCTCCAATCTTATAGGCATGGGTCCTGCTACCCCTCCAGATCCCAGTCCAGCTATTGCCCCCATCATGGCTGAGGGAGGGGTACCCTCGCCAGGGCCTGGTGCCTACTTCAGCAGGAAAGCCCGACTCTCCTTCCGCCACCAGCTGCATGACATGGCATCGGCCAATGACTCCACCATCTGAAGGGGACAACGAGGAGCTGAACCTCTGGGAAGGCTGAGCAAGCTTCCTTCCCCAGACTGCTCAGCGACTCCAATCTCCACTTCCTCAAGTCCTTTCTAACCTTCTTATTAAATATGTTCATAGTTGCTAAGTGCTGTGTGTGTGTGTGTGCGCGCAGGGGGAGTAGACAAGGCCAAGGCTGCAGGGCTGGGTTATGGGGTTGAGGTGGGAAGTGTTGCTTATGGTGGGAGACGCAGGAATGATGAATATGCCACACCTGATCTAAGGCAGCGCCCAGGTGTCATAAACAGGAATAAGAATTGGCTGATGTCAAGCTTCAGAGTTGAGTGTGGTGAAAGCAGTCTGTGGGATGGCAGATCGGAGGAGGAAGCATATTCATTCAGTAAATACTGAGTGTCTACCCCTGCCAGGCATGGAGGATATATCAATGAACTGGGAAGAAAGAATTCTCTCCTCTCTATAGGCCGGGAATGGTGGCTCACATCTGTAATCCCAGCATTTTGGGAGGCTGAGGTGAGCATATCACGAGGTCAGGAGTTCGAGACCATTCTAGCTAATAAGGTGAAACCCTATCTCTACTAAAAATGCAACAAACTAGCTGGGTGTGGTGGCATGCGCTTGTAGTCCCAGCTACTCAGGAGGCTGAGGCAGGGGATTCGCTTAAACCCAGAAAGTGGAGGTTGCAGTGAGCCGAGATCATGCCACTGCACTCCAGCCTGGGTGACAAAACGAGACTACGTCTCAAAAAAAAAGGAATAAAGACTTCTCTCTTTGTGATAAAGAAAAACAAAACAAAACAAAAAGAATTCTCTCCTCTCACTGAGCTGACTTTCTAGTAGAGGGAAGTAGACAATCATACATAGGTAAACAAATAAGCGGAACGCAAGACAATGATACAGGCTGCTGTGAAAAAAATGAAACAGGGTCATGAGAGAGAGGGATGGGGGTGGTTTCTTTAGTTTCAGGTGGTCAGAAAAGGCCTTTCTGATGAGATGACATTTGAGCTGAGAGCTGAATGATAAGTAGCCATGTGGAAATCAGGGAGTGATGTGTCAGTGTAGGTTTACCAGTTCCAACAAATGCTCATCTCTGGTGCAGAAAATTGACAGTGAGAGAGGCCACCCATGGGGGGAGAGGGGCATATGGGAAATCTCTGTATCTTCTACTCAATTCTAGATATGGTGGTGGAAAGGAAACTGGGAGAAAGGTGATTTGGAGAAGAGGTTTGAAAACCTCCCATGTGGCCGGGTGCAGTGGCTCACGCCTGTAATCCCAGCACTTTGGGAGGCCAAGGCGGGCAGATCAGGAGGTCAAGAGATCAAGACCATCCTGACCAACATGGTAAAACTCCATCTCTACTAAAAAAAAAAATACAATAATTAGCTGGGCATGGTGGCACATACCTGTAGTCCCAGCTACTCGGGAGGGTGAGGCAGGAGAACTGCTTGAACTTGGGAGATGGAGGTTGCAATGAGCTAAGATCATACCACTGCACTCCAGCCTGGCGACAGAGCAAGCCTCCATCTCAAAAAAAAGAAAACCACCCATGTAAAAGCTTAAGGAATAAAACATTCATAAACTCCTTTCATCTCCTCTGCAACTCGCTCTGAGTTCAGTGATTTATACAAATAGGAATGGGCTAGACAAATTCAGGCTTGAAGTCAAAAAAAGAACCCCAAACTACAAAGATTCTCTTTGACAAACTTTATTAAATTTTGTATCAGTATGGGGTTATCTCTTATTGCATACTAGAATCCCAGGACTCAGGGGGGTGGTAAAGTGGCAATGGTGAATTTGGGTATCTGGTCTCCCAAAAGTACTTGCCGCTCTACCCCTGACTCTGCAATGGCTGCCAGGCGGATCACTCCTCCACTGGAGCCATCCCGTTCCATGGCCAAAGCGAGAGCTGTGGATAAAAGGAGTCAGCTGGGTTCAGAGTCAGATGCTAGGATTACTGCAAGGAATGAGAAATGTTGGTCTGTCTTGGGTTGTTGGGGTTGAAGCTCATAGGCCCAGAAGCTCAAGCTCTTACCATTGGCAGTGAATTGCAGACACTCTTCTTTGGTCATGCCTTCCCGGTATGTAGCATCAACATAGCCATAGATGTAGGAGCTCCCGGAGCCTCCAATGGCAAAGGACTGCCTTACCATCATACCCCCCATAGGCACTGAGTACACCTGCCAGACAGAAGGAGAAGAGTCACCAGTCATATCCTCCCTCCAACACATGTACATTCACCTGTCCATTGTGCTACTGGTCTGAGAAGCATTAATAGTAAGTATAAGTGAGGCAGAGACTGGAAAGAAAATGTCTGGGAGAGGATAAAAGGCCTGGCTCATGTGTGCTCTGGTTGGGGGTGGGGATCTGACCTGCCCTCCTTCTTGAGGGTCCCAGCCTGCGATGATGATTCCCGCCATCAGGTCTTCCCGGTATCGGTAACACATCTCCTTAAACAGGCTGGCTGCTGTGTGTACCAGTGGAGGCTCATTCAGTTCAATGCTAGAGGGTCAGGGAAGTCATAGAGAAAGTTTCAGGACTTGGGAGTCAGGTCATTTAGCTCCTCAGCTTCCAACTCCCTTCAGATACTTGCTCCTCCCCTACCCACAAGCACCTGTGGAAACCAAGCTGGTAAGTGACAGCATCAGCTACTGCCTGGGTATCAGCTGCTGAGCCCGAGCGACAGCAGAAAATGTGGTCATGAATAGGAGTCAGTTTGTCAGTCACTCGATTGGCAATGTAGGACCTGCAAGAGGGTAGAATGGTGAGGAAAGGAGCCCACCTGTCTTCCATCCCCATCCCATCACCACCCATTCTCTTAGGGCTCAGGGATAGGATGTCCAGTATTGCCTTTTTTTCTTTTCTTGTTTTTTGGAGACAGAGTCTTGCTCTGTCGCCAGGCTGGAGTGCAATGGCGTGATCTTGGCTCACTGCAACCTCTGCCTCCTGGGTTCAAGTGATTCTCTTTTTCTCTTTCCTCAGTCTCCTGAGTAGTTAGAACTACAGATGCATGCCACCATGCCCAGTTAATTTTTGTATTTTTAGTACAGACCAAGTTTCACAATGTTGGCCAGCATGGTCTCAATCTCTTGACCTCATGACCCACCGCGCCCGGCCTCTTTTTTCTTTATTTGAGATGGAGTCTTGCTCTGTCGCCCAGGCTGGAGTGCAGTGATGCAATCTCTGCTCACTGCAACCTCTGCCTCCTGGGTTCAAGCAATTATCTTGCCTTAGCATTCCGAAGTAGCTGGGACTGCAGGCGTGTGCGCTACACCCGGCTAATTTTTGTATTTTTTAGTAGAGATGGGGTTTCACCATGTTGGCTAGGCTGGTCTTGAACTCCTGACCTCAGGTGATCCATCCTCCTCAGCCTCCCAAACTGCTGGGATTACAGGCGTGAGCCACTGTGCCTGGCCTCCAGTATTGCCTATTCTCATCCAAACTGAAGCAGGCTGAAGAACAGACTTTTCTAAGGATTCCACTAAAGAGTGAGGGGAACTGAAAGTAATACAAGCTGGGACAAATCTTTATCTCCAGGGAGAGAAGAAAGCTCTCTTCCCACAGTGGTCTGTGGATGATTAGGCTGGGCTGGCAGGCAGGAAAGGAAAAGGAAGACGGGAAGACCTTTCACAAATCTGTCGTGAGCTCACCCAGTGGTTGTTCTGGAGTCCGCCCCCAGAACCACGCCCCCGTCAAACTGCACTGCCATGATAGTGGTCTGGGAAAAGGGAAAAAGGAATGAGTCTTTCCACATTCTCCAGCATACACAACTCCCTCAATGATTTCTCTACATAGTTCCCAAAATACAAAATCTGTGCGCCGCTGAGCCATTTTCAAGTCTTACAGGGGTCTCAGCGTCCCGCAGAATACCAGAATGCCAACCCTCAAATCCCAAAACACTCATCTCGGACTTAAGCCCAGGGTTTTCACTAGCCTCGCAGGATTCCAGAATTCCACATTTCAGTCCACCCGCCATCTCCCACTACGAAGGTACCACATTACTCCACCATCCTCGGGGTGCCTCTCCCCATTCCTGGAGCACAACACATTCCACCTTCCCTCCGCCCCTGCCAGATCTCTCAACCTCATTCAGGCTTTATCTTCCCATCGCGTCAAGCCTTGTGCGCATCTTATGAGCCCTGACTCTTTCCTTACCCCTGTGGAGACTTCTCGGCTTTCCCAGTCTGGAGTGAAAGCCTCCGGTCCCCAGGCCGGTGCCGGCCCGACTCCCCTAGCAGCTAGCAAGGTGGCCGCCATCTTTCTCCTCCGGTATTGCCTCAAAGCAACTGTCGTAAAGCGCTCTGTCACGCTCTTTAGTCGCGCTTTGAAGCCTTCTGGGAGCTAAGCTACTCCGAGGTTGACAGCGGAAGGGAAAAGAAAAGTTCAGTATTGCATGGAGACGGTTCTTTTGCGACAGTGAGCGTTTGATGGTAGCGTGGCCAGCAACACACAAAAATGTCTGCAAAAAAAAGCCGTCCCAGTGTCCTGCGCCGTACTAATCTTATGGAGTTGCAGTTCGAAGGGCCCACAAAATAAACCTGAGAGTCTCTGGGTTAAAGTGACCACACTATGTTTTCATTTCTTTTAGTTACATACTTAGGAATATATGCTGGCGGTGGAATTTATGGGTTCTTTTTTTTTTTTTTTTTGAGATGGAGTTTCGCTCCTGTTACCCAGGCGGGAGTGCAATGGTGCAATCTCGGCTCACCGCAACCTCCGCCTCCTGGGTTCAGGCAATTCTCCTGCCTCAGCCTCCTGAGTAGCTGGGATTACAGGCAAGCGCCACCGTGCCCAGCTAATTTTTTGTATTTTTAGTAGAGACAGGGTTTCACCATGTTGACCAGGATGGTCTCGATATTTTGACCTCGTGATCCACCCGCCTCGGCCTCCCAAAGTGCTGGGATTACAGGCTTGAGCCACCGGGCCCGGCCGGAATTTATGGGTTCTATGGTAACTGTATGTTTAACATTTTGAGCAACCGACAAACTTCTCCACAGAAGCTGCACTATTTTACATTCCTACAAGCCATGTATGAGAGTTCCAATTTTCCACCACCTCACCAACACTTGCTATTGTGCATTATCGTAATTACAGCCATTCTAGTGGGTGTGAAGTGGTCCTTGTGGTTTTCATTGGTATTTCTCTAATGATTAGTGATGCTGAGCATATTTCCATGAGATAATTAGCCATTTGCATGTCTTTTTTTTTTTTTCAGACGGAGTCTCGCTCTGTCGCCCAGGCTGGAGTGCAACAGTGCAATCTCTGCTCACTGCAACCTCTCCGTCCCGGGTTCAAGCGGTTCTCCTGCCTCAGCCTCCTGAGTAACTGGAATTACAGGAACACACTACCATGCCCGGCTAATTTTTGTATATTTAGAAGAGATGGGGTTTCACTATATTGGTCAGGCTGATTTCGAACTCCTGATCTCATCCACCCGTCTCGGCCTCCCAAAGTGCTGGGATTACAGGTATGAACCACTGTGCCTGGCCCTGAATGTGGTAATTTCTAGAATCAGGAAGTGTGAATCCTCCAACGTTTTCCTCCTTTTCAAGATTGTTTTGGTTATTCTGGATCCTTTGCATCTCTATATAAATTGTAGGATTAGCTCGTCCATTTCTGCAGAAAAGGCTGTTGGACTTTTGTTAGGGATTGTACTGAATCTGTACATCAATTTGTGGAGTAGTGCCATCTTAACAAGTCTTTCCTTTTCATAACATGGGATTTTTTTCATATATTTAGATCTTCTTTAATTTCTTTTTTTTTTTGAGACGGAGCCTTACTCTGTCGCCAGGCTGGAGTGCAGTGGCGCAATCTCGGCTGACTGCAACCTCTGCCTGGGTTCAAGCGATTCTTCCGCCTCAGCCTCCCAAGTAGCTGGGACCACAGGCACGTGCCACCACGCCCGGCTAATTTTTGTATTTTTAGTAGAGACGGGGTTTCACCATGGCCAGGATGGTCTCAATCTCTTGACCTCGTGATCCACCTGCCTCGGCCTCCCAAAGTGCTGGTATTATAGGAGTGAGCCACTGCGTAATTTCTTTTAACAGTGTTTTATAGTTTTCAATGTATAGGTCTTGCACTTCTTTGGTTAAATTTGTTCCCAAGTATTTTATTCTTTTTGATGCTACTATAAGTGATGTTGTCTTCTTAATTTCATTTTTGGATTGTTCATTGCTAGTACATAGAAATATAACTGATTTTTGGCCGAATGTGGTGGCTCATGCCTATAATCCCAACACTCTGGGATACTGAGGTGGGCAAATTACCTGAGGTTGGGAGTTTGAGACCAGTCTGACCAACATGGAGAAACCCCGTCTCTACTAAAAATACAAAATTAGCTGGGCACTGTGGCACATGCCTGTAATCCCAGCTACTCAGGAAGCTGAGGCAGAAGAATCACTTGAATCCAGGAGGCGGAGGTTGCAGTGAGCTGAGATCATGCCATTGCGCTCCAGCCTGGGCAACTCGAACAAAACTTCATCTCCAAAAAAAAGAAAAAAGAATGAAATATAACTGAATTTGATTTTGATATTGTTTCTTGCAACTTCATTGAACCATTTATTACTTCTAATAGTTTGTCTGTATATCCTTTAGGGTTTTTCTATATAAACCATCATATTATCTGCAAATAGATAGTTTTATCTCTTTCTTTCAAATCTGGCTGCCTTTTATTTCATTATCTTGCCTAGTTGCTTTGGCTAGTTACTCCAGTACAATGTTGCATAGATTGGCAAAAGCAGACATCTTTGTCTTGTTTCTCATTTTAGAGGAAAGGCATAGGGAAAAGTCTTGAACCTGGAAGCAGCAGTTGCAGTGAGGTGAGATTGTGCCACTGCACTCCAGCCTGGGCAACAAGAGTGAAACCCCATTTCCCAAAAAAAAAAAAAAAAAAAAAAATGATTTGTAGGGCAATTGTGGTCAGCTTTTCCATTTAGTGTTTTCCCATACATTATCATTTAATCTTCATATGAGGCCTGCAAAGTACCTATTATTATCCTCATTTTACAGTGGAGGGAACTCAAGCCCAGAGTGAATTTGGGGTCCACACCACTGCTCAGTAGGGGAGCTGTTCTGTTACTACAGCTGGCCCTACAGGGAAGGGAAATGCACAGATCTGTCCCTGCTGTCCAATCCCCCAAATTCCCTTCATCCAGTTCCATGCACTCAGGGCAGCTGCCCTTTGGGGCGAAGGGCACTGGGGAAGGGGGCCTTAGTAGGTTAACTCTTAATCCTTTGCGCCTCAGGGCACTGAGGGCTTCTCTCCCTGGACTGGCTAGGGGCTGGTGAGGGGCCGGGAAATAGCTACTTGGGATGCTGAGGCAGGAGAATCACTTGATCCTGGGAGGTGCAGGTTGCAGTGAGCCAAGATTACACCACTGCATTTCAGCTTGAGTGACAAGAGTGAAACTCCATCTAAAGATAAGTAAGTAAATAAATAAATAAAATAAAATACATTGCCAGGCAAAGTGGCTCACACCTGTAATCCTAGCACTTTGGGAGGCCAAGGTGGGCAGATCACTAGGTCAGGAGTTCGAGACTAGCCTGGCCATCATGGCAAAATCCAATCTCTACTAAAAATACAAAAAATTAGCCAGGTATGGTGGCGGGTGTCTGCTATCCCAGCTACTCGGGAGGCTGAGACAGGGAATCATTTCAAATATATGGATGGATATATATATATTCATATATATGGAGATATATATATATATATATATATATATGGATGGAAGAGGGGACATGAAAAATAAAACACAATAAAATATAGGGAGGGGAAGGATGGACAGAGAAACAATGAGGAGGCTATTGCAGTAATCTAGGATATATTCTCTCTTCATAGTCAAAGGTACTAGCAGTGGAGAAAGTGGGCATTGGTCAGATTTTCACAGATTGGATGTTGGTGTGATGAAGGAGAAACAGAAGGGTCAGGATGACAAGGTTTTTGGTCTAAGGACCTGGAAGAATAGAATTACCTTTCACTGGGCTAGCAAAGACTCTGAAGGGAGAATTTTCGTGGGGAGGGCATATTGGAACTTAGTGTTGGACATGGTGGATTTGCTATGCCTAGGTGACATCCAAGTGGAAATACCGAATAGACAATTGTATATGTAGGATTCTAGAGTCCAGGAGAAAGTGGATTGAAGTTATGATTTGGAAGTTATCAGTGTATGAAACATCAAGGTCTTTGATGTTCACCATTGTTGTGGGAGTGGCCATGGAGTCGTTTAATAAACATGCATTATGGGGCTGAACACCTTAATGAACATGCATTATGGGGCTTGGTGTGAGGCATGACGCACATGTGCTTGGGTGGCTGAAGGGCGAGGATGCCATTTATTCACAAAGACAGGGAGCACAGGAGGAGGCGCAGTTCTTGGGGGGATGGTGGTGGGTCTCGTGTTGCATTTGCAGCGTCTGTGAAGTGTGCAGGATGCTTGCTGTATATTGCAGAGGGCTGACGCTCAGGGACAAGTCTGGGCTGGAGACTCAACGTGTGGTTGGCAACCAGGGCCCCGAGAGTGGTTGCAATAGGCCGGGGGAGGGTGAGGTCTCTCCGCTGCCGGGAACCGGGATGACACATCTTCTGACGTTCGTTTTCTATTTCCCTCGAGCGCCAATCGTCATCACACAAAACGCCTTACCCCGACGCTGCCAAATCATGCTTTTTATTCCTCACAGCTCTTCCCATATTCCCGAGACTGCGCATAGAGGGAGCTCAGTCCCCTTCCCTGCCGGAACGGCCCTTACCGCAGCGACGTCACGGAAGAGGCGGGATTTGGGGCAGATCCCGGGCTGCGTGGCCCCACCCCGGGCGGTCCGGTCCGTGCCCGCCGGTGCCCGCAGCCACCGCCCTAGGCCAGCTGGAGCAGGCTGCGCTCGGCCAGCAGGCCCTGGGTGCGGTTGTAGACATCCTCCAGGGTGCCCGCGGCCCGGGCCAGCGCGGCGCGAGCCTCCGCCTCGGTGGTTCCCGGACAAGCCAGCTCCAGCAGGCGGCGGCGACCCGGGAAGGCGAGGAAGGCGAGGTGGGCGGCTTGACGGACCAGCCAGGGGTGGTGCGGGCCCAGGGCCGCGCTGTAGGCGTCGCTGCACTGCGCACCGGCGTCCGGGCCTCCCAGCACGCCGGTCGCCACCCGGTGGAGGCAGAGCTGGGACCAGCGCAGCGCGCGGTGCAGCAGGAGCAGTGTGCGAGAGCCGGAGCTCCGGGCCGGGTCCCGGGGGACCGCTCCGGGCTGCTCCAACAGTCCCGTCCGTAGCTCCCACGCCGCCATGGCCACCAGCGACAAGTAGTGCTCCGCGTCCCGGCCGTGCACCCGAGCCTCCAGGGCCGTCACCTTGGTGAAGGCCTCCCTAGAGGCGAAGGCGAAGACAGAGCCAAGGGGAGTCAGGAACCTGCGGGCGAGACCAGTTAAGAGAGGGCGATGGAGCCGCCAAGGAGGCCGGGACCGGCTGGCGGGGGCAGAAGGCCACTCACTCGACGAGTGCCCTCCATCCCGCCAGGTACGGCGACAGCCCCACATCCCCTTCGGGGTTCAGACTGGCGCGGAACGGCCTCATCATGCGGCCCAGCATCCCCTGAGGGCCCAGACACGGAGGCTCTTTCCTCTCCGGGGCCTCCGGGGGTCCCGACTCCTGCCGGACCTGGTGGGGAGACACGATGGGGAAAGGTGGGAGCCGATTCCGCCCCGAAGACGTTGTTCCGAAGGTTTAGCCAGTGTCCCTCCTGCTGTGCGCTCAGCTTCCGACGGGAGAGGGGAGACCAAGGGGCGGACCAGCCCTTCACCGTACCCTCAGCCTGGCTACACGCCCCTCTGTTCCGGTCCCTTCTAGAGCGCCCGCGCCCGGCTCTGCGCGGAGCGTACCTGGAAGGGCGCTGTTCCCTCTGGAACGCAGGCCTGTGCCCCGAGTCCGCAGCCCGAGCGGACGCCTGTCAGAGGAGAAGCGGAGTGGTGAGGGCTCGAGACAGGGGCTTAAGTCGTGACGGCCTGGACCCCGCGGTTCCTCCCGGAGCAGGTGAGGGAAGGGGCAGCTCACCTAGGCTCCGAGCACTGAGATAAAGCAGCAGCAGCGCGAAGATGACGGGAGGAATTGAGAGGCGGAACCAGTGCCGCGGGGCCTGGGGCCGCACCGCCACCCCCATGGCTGCCGCTGGGACCGCCGCCCCCTCACTAACCCCTAGCCTGTCTGTGTCCGTCCACCTCCAGGAGGGAAGAGAAGCCCGCGGTGCCCTGAGGAGCAAAGGGTTAATAATTAACCTGCTAAGGCCCCTTTCCCCAGTGCCCTTCGCCCCAAAGGGCAGCTACTCTGGGTGCCAGGAACCGGATGAAGGGAATTTGGGGGATTCCACGGCAGTGACAGATCTGTGCATTTCCCTTCCCTGTAGGGCCAATTATAGTAACAGGCACTTTGAGTACTGGGAAGTGAGGCAGGGTCAGAACAATTCCCCTACTGAGCAGTGGTGTAGGCCCCAAATTCACTCTGGGCTTGAGTTCCCTCCACTGTAAATTGAGAATGATAATAGGTAGTTTGCAGGCCTCATGTGAGGATTAAATGATAATGTATGAAAAAACGCTAAATGGAAAAGTTGACCACAATTGCCCTATAAATCTTTTTTTTTTTTTTTGAAACGGAGTTTCACTCTTGTTGCCCAGGCTGGAGTACAGTGGCTGTGATCTCAGCTCACTGCAACCACCGCTTCCAGGTTCAAGCAATTCTGCCTTAGCCTCCCGAGTAGCTGGGATTACAGTCATGCACCACCACACCTGCTAGTTTTTGCACTTTTAGTAGAGATGGGGTTTCACCATGCTGGCCAGGCTGGTTTCGAGCTTCTGACCTCAGGTGATCCACCCGCCTCAGCCTGCCAAAGTGCTGGGATTACAGGCGCCCGGCCACCTGTAAATCTTAAATTCAAGCACCGGGTGCCTCTGGGATCCAGAGAACACCCACTTCAAAATTATCTGTCTTATCCCCAGGGGACTTTGTCTTGCTCTGGATACATGACCTCTCTTACTCATATGCATACGTCAAGCTTTATCCTTTTATATTTTTGTGGTTTAATTTTCAAAACTCCAGACTGGCTCTTCAATCATTAATTGCACCAACTTTTATTAAGTACTTCCGCATGTACTGGGCTTCGAGAATATAAAAGTGCCTTCACAGAGCTCAAGGTCCACTGGGGGAGAATTTATCCTCTATCTCCCCACTGGAATGTGAGCTCTGATGACAGGGGCCTTGTTTTTCTTGGTTGCTTACAGCACTTGGAATATTGCTTCAGCCAAAACACATTATTGCTAAATAAATAGGTATTGAATAAACAAAGGAGTGTGTATGAGGGCAGGTAAATCAGGGGTTGTGGCCCCCTAACACATTCAGCCAGGCTTTTTTAGGCCAGGCACAGTGGCTCACGCCTGTAATTCCAGCACTTTGGGAGGCTGAGGTGGGCAGGTCACCTGGGATCAGGAGATTGAGAGCAGCCTCGCCAACAAGGCAAAACCCCGTCTCTACTAAAAATATAAAAATTAGCTGGGTGTGGTGGTGCATGCCTGTAATCCCAGCTACTCAGGAGGTTGAGGCAGGAGAATCACTCGAACCTGGGAGGTAGAGGTTGCAGTGACCCTAGATGGTGTCACTGCAACTCTAGTCTGGGTGACAGACTTCATCTCAAAAGAAACAAACCGGTCAGTCTCCGTGGCTCTCGCCTGTAATTCCAGCACTTTAGGAGGCCGAGGTGGGCGGATCACCTGAGGTCAGGAGTTCAAGACCAGCCTGACTAACATGCAGAAACCCCATCTCGACAAAAAAATACAAAATTAGCTGGTCATGGTGGCACATACCTGTAATCCTAGCTACTCAGGAGGCTGAGGAGAGAATCACTTGAACCCGGGAGGCAGAGGTTTTGGTGAGCCAAGATGGCACCAGTGCACTCCAGCCTGGGCAACAAGAGCAAAAACTCCCTCTAAACAAACAAACAAACAAACAAAAAACAAAACCATACTTAGCCAGGCTTTTTTGCTTTTTGTTTTGCAAATTAGGAGTTCACCTGGTGCTCACAAGGGGAAAGACATTCAGGGAAAGGATACCAGGATACAAAAAGTAATGGAAGAAAGAGCATTATCTCTTCTTAGGGGTTCTTAGTTTCCTGTCCCCACACTTTTTAGAATTATTCCTGTTAGGCCGGGCCCAGTGCCTCATGCCTGTAATTCAGCACTTTGGGAGGCTGAAGCAGGCTGATCATGAGGTCAAGACACTGAGACCATCCTGGCCAACATGGTGAAACCCTGTCTCTACTAAAAATACAAAAAGTTAGCCGGGTGTGGTGGCACGCAGCTGTAGTCCCAGCTACTTGGGAGGCGGAGGCAGAAGAATCACTTGAACCTGGGAGGCAGAGGTTGCAGTGAGCTGAGATCATACCACTGTACTCCAGCCTGGGTAACAAGAGTGAAACTCCCTCTCAAAAAAAAAAAAAAAAAAAAAAGAGAAAAGAAAAGGAAAGAAAGAAAGAGAAAGGAAAGGAGAAAGAAAAACAGGAAGGAAGGAAAGAGAGAGAGGGAAAGAATTTCAGCCTGGCGGGGTGGCTCATGCCTGTAATCCTACCACTTTGGGAGGCCAAGGTGGGTGGATCACCTGAGGTCAGGAGTTCAAGACCAGCCTGGCCATCATGGTGAAACCCCACCTTAAAAAAAAAATTCCTATTTGTATATATCTTTTTTTTTTTTTTTTGAGACAGAGTTTTGCTCTTGTTACCCAGGCTGGAGTGCAATGGCACGATCTTGGTTCACTGCAACCTCCACCTCCTGGGTTCAAGCAATTCTCCTGCCTTAACCTGCTGAGTAGCTGGGACTACAGGCATGTGCCACCACGCCCAGCTAATTTTTGTATTTTTAGTAGAGACGGGTTTTCATCATGTTTTGACCAGGATGGTCTCGATCTCTTGACCTCATGATCCACCCGTCTCAGCCTCCCAAAGTACTGGATTATAGGCGTGAGCCACCGCTCCTGGCCGCTTGTATATATCTTCTTTTAAGGTTCTAAGGTGGGGAGGGGTGTTCTGGATTCTTAAGGTGTTAGATAGGGCCCTGATCTCTAAGAATACCTCTCAGAGGAGACTTCTGAGCTGACAGGAGATTTCTCAGCTTCTCTAGTTAGTGGATTATTGCCCTGTCCTCACTCTGATGTCCCCTCACATCCTGGAGGTCTTTGGGTTGCTCTTGACCCATCCTGCCCTGGTGGGACTCCTGTGAGATCACTTCCATCCCTAGCCCTGGTCTCCACTCCCACTCCTGGAATATTTCCTGGCTTTCTTGGCTGTAAACCTAAGACAAGTCTCTTGCCATTTCCCTCATCTACAAAATAAGAAGAGTAATTCTCACCTCCTAAAATTGTTATGAGGGTTAAATAAAATACGTCTGCAAAGCGCTAAGCATAATTCATAGCCTATAGTAAAGGTTCAGTGGGTGATGGTTATTTCAATTCGCCCTCTCTCACTGCCCCTTCTTCACTAGCTCTGGGAACAGGAAATCGAATCTGCTGGGTTCCGGGAGTGGATTAGTTTTGGGTTTCACTTAATCTGAGAGGCCGTTCCGCAATCAGAACCCTCGCAAGGGACAAACTGATATAAATCAGGAAGCCTGATTCACAAAGGCTGCAGGATGGAACTGGGTGCCAAAGCCAAGCTGCTGTTGCTGCTGCTGCTTCTGCAGGTGACGTGTTTCACATGTGCACAGGCAGATGAGCAGAACGGCTACACGGCGGTCATCGAAGTGACCAACGGAGGTCCCTGGGGCGACTGGGCCTGGCCTGAGATGTGTCCTCAAGGATTCTTTGCCAGCGGGTTCTCTCTCAAGGTTGGAGCTCAGGCCTAGGTCCTGGAAAGGGCGGTGATGCTTGGGACTACCCAGCCAAGGATGGCAATTCAGTGACTCGTCCTTGCTCCTCTCCTCGATACCCAGGTGGAGCCTCCCCAAGGTGCTCCTAGCGACGACACTGCATTGAATGGGATCAGGCTGCACTGTGCGTGCGGGAACGTCCTAGGAAATGCGTACGCGATAGAGTCCAAGTCTGAAAGGTGAGGCACAGGGGTCAAGGATCCCCGGGGTGATGGTATGTCCCTTACCCTCTACGACATACTCCGTCAGGACAGGCAGGCTGGCTCCTCCAGAGCTACGGGGCAGTATAGTCCAATATAGAACGGGGCTGGGGGTGGATGGAAGACCTCTCCTCCGCTTCTCGGCGGAGGTCAGAGAGCTAGAGCCAGCCCACCAGGTCATGTAGAAAGCACTTGACTTGGAAAGTCCCAAGGGTTTGGTGAATGGCGGCGCCCGCAGAGCCAGCACATCTCCCTTTCCCTTGCAGGTGGGGCGAGTGGAGTGAGCCGCTGTGGTGTCCGGGCGGCGGCTACCTGGTGGCTTTCTCGTTTCGCGTGGAGGCACCTCTCCCCCACGGTGACGACACAGCAGCTAACAACGTGCGCTTCCGCTGTTCAGACGGCAAGGAACTGGAGGGGCCTGGGCTGAGCTGGGGAGACTTTGGAGACTGGAGTCCGCCTTGCCCCAAGGGTGTGTGCGGCCTGCAGACCAAGATCGAGGGGCCTAGAGGCCCCAGCGATGACACTGCGCTGAACGACGTGCGATTTTTCTGCTGCCGCAGTTGAGCGCGGCCACCGCCGCTCTCTCCTGGGCCGGGAGGCTAGTCCCACTTCCTGCTATTAAAGCTTATCCGAGTTGACTTTGGTCTCACCTGTTTTGGGGATTGGGCACTGAATTTCCTCTTCCCCTCCTAACCTAGCATTGGGCAAGGCATACATTTGGGTTTGGTCTCAGGGGTCCACGGTAGACCACTGAAAGTTATGGACTGATAGTCCAGAAAATCGCACTTAAACACATAATTATCACATAAGTGATGGAAGTCTGGCTTTTTCTCTTTTCTTCTGTTTTTTTTTCTTTTTTGAGATGGAGTTTCGCTCTTGTTACCCAGGCTGGAGTGCAATGGCGCGATCTCGGCTCACTGCAACCTCCCCCTCCTGGGTTCAAGTGATTCTCCTGCCTCATCCTCCTGAGTAGCTGGGACTATAGGTGCCCACCACTATGCCCAGTTAATTTTTGTATTTTCAGTAGAGATGGGGTTTCCCCATGTTGGCCAGGCTGGTCTCAAACTCCTGACCTCAGGTGTTCTGCCCTCCTCAGCCTCCCAAAGTGCTGGGATTACAGGTGTGAGCCACCACACCTGGCCACCTAAAAATCTTACTAAGTTCAAGCTCTGGGCGCCTCTGGGATTCAGGGAGGACCTGCTTCTAAATTCTCTGTCTTATCCCGAGGGAACTTTGTCTTGATCTGAATACATGACCTCTCTCAATCATATATGTTTGTCAGGTTTTATCCTTTCACATTTTCTTTTCCTTTTCTTTTTTTTCTTTGAGAGGAAGTTTGGCTCTTGTTTCCCTTGCTGGAGTGCAATGATGTGATCTGGGCTCATTACAACCTCTGTCTCCCAGGGTCAAGCAATTCTCCTGCCTTGGCCTCTGGAGTAGCTGGGATTACAGGCATGGGCCACCTCGCTGAGATAATTTTGTATTTTTGGTGGAGGCCAGGTTTCTCCATGTTGGTCAGGCTGCTCTCCAACTCTTGACCTCAGGTGATCTGCCCGCTTCAGCCTCCCAAAGTACTGGGATTACAGGCGTGAGCCACTGCACCTGGCCACCTATAAATCTTATTAAGTTCAAGCACCAGGTGCCTCTGGGATCCAGGGAGCACCTGCTTCTAAATTCTCTCTTATCCCCAGAGAACTTTGTCTTGATCTGGATACCTGACCTCTCTCAATCATATATGTTTGTCAGGATTTATTCTTTCCCATTTTTTTCTTTTCTTTTCTTTCTATTAATTGAGACCGAGTTTCACTTTCATTGCCCAGGCTGGAGTGCAATGGTACAATATCGGGTCATGGCAACCTCCACCTCCCAAGTTCAAGCAATTCTCCTGCCTCAGCCTCCTGAGTAGCTGGGATTACAGGCATGCGCGCCCACACCCAGATAATTTTGTATTTTTAGTAGAGACAGGGTTTCTCCATGTTGGTCAGGCTGCTCGTTTACTCTCAACCTCAGGTGATCCGCCTGCCTCGGCCTCCCAAAGTGCTGGGATTACAGGTGTGAGCCACTGCACCTGGCTGTGGTTTAATTTTCAAAACTCCAGACTAGCTCTTCAATCCTTCAATCATTCATTGCGCCAACCTTTATTAAGTACTTCCGCATGTACTAGGTTTGGAGACTACAACAGTGTCTTCACAGAACTCAGGGTCCACTGGGGGAGAATTTATCCTCTGTCTCCCCACTGGAATGTGAGCTCTGATGACAGGGGCCTTGTTTTCCTTGGTTGCTTACAGCACTTGGAATATTGCTTCAGCCAAAACACGTTATTGCTAAATAAATAGGTATTGAATAAACAAAGGAGTGTGTATGAGGGCAGGTAAATCAGGGGTTGTGGCCCCCTAACAAATTTAGCTAGGCTTTTTTAGGCTAGGCAGGGTGGCTCATGCCCGTAATCCCAGCATTTTGGGAGGCAGAGATGGGCGGATGACCTGAGGTCAGGAGTTCCAGAGCAGCCTGGCCAACAAGGCGACACCCTGACTCTACTGGAAAAAAAAAAAAAAAAGCCAGACACAAAGGAACATATACTCTATGATTCCATTTGTGTAAAGTGGGTAATGGGCCAAACTAGTCTATGGGGTTTGAAATCTATTCTATGAAGACAGAATAGTGGGGCGCGGTGGCTCATGCCTGTAATTCCAGCACTTTGGGAGGCTGAGGTGGGCGGATCACCTGGGGTCAGTAGTTCGGGACCAGCCTGGCCAACATGGTGAAACTCCATCCATACTAAAAATATAAAAATTAGCAGGGTGTGGTGGCATACGTCTGCAATCCCAGCTACTCAGGAGGCAGGAAAAATGCTTGAACCTAGGAATCTGTAGGTTGCGGTGAGCCCAGATGGCGCCACCGCACTCCAGCCTGGGCAACAGACTGAGACTTCCTCTCAACACAAGCAAACAAACGAAAAACACACTTAGCCAGTTTTTCGCTTTTTGTTTTGCAAATTAGGAGTCCACCTGGTGGTCACAGGGGGAAAGGCATTCTGGGAAAGGATACCAGGATACAGAAAGCAATGGAAGAAACAGCATTATCTCTTCTTAGGAGTTATTAATCTCCTGTTCCCAAACTTCTTAGAATTATTCCTGTTGAGTCAGGTGCGGTGGCTCACGCCGTAATACCAGCACTTTGGGAGTCGGTGGTGGGCAGATCACAAGGTCAAGAGATTGAGACCAGCCTGGCCAACATGGTGAAAACCTGTCTCTACTAAAAATACAAAAAAGTAGCTGGATGTGGTGGCAGGGCACCTGTAGTTCTAGCTACTGGGGAGTCTGAAGCAGGAGAATCATTTGAACCTGTGAGGCAGAGGTTGCAGTGAGCCGAGATTGAGACATTGTACTCCAGCCTGGGCGACAGAGCAAGACTCCATCTCAAAAAAAAAAAAAAAAAATTAGCTGGGCATGGTGGTACTCGCCTGTATTCCCAGCTACTTGGGAGGCTGAGGCAGGAGAATTGCTTGAACCCAGGAGGTGGAGGTTGCAGTGAGCTGAGATAGCGCCACTGTACTCCAGCCTGGCAACAGAGCAAGACTGTCTCAAAAAAAAAAAAAAAAAAAGAATTATTCCTGTTTGTGTATATGTTCTTCTAAGGTGGGGAGGGGTGTCCTGGATTCTTAAGGTGTTAGGTAGGGCTCTGATCTCTAAGAAGACCTCTCAGAGGAGGAGACTTCTGAGCTGACAGGAGATTTCTCAGTTTCTCTAGTTGGTGGATTCTTGCCTTGTCCTCACTCTGATATCCCCTCATATCCTAGAGGAGTCTGGGTTGCTCTTGACCCATCCTGCCCCTGGTGTGACTCCCGTGACCATCCCTAGCCCTGGTCTCTGCTCCCACTGCTGGAATGTTTCCCAGCTTGCTTGGCTGTAAACTGAAGGCAAGTTGCCATTTTTGAGCCAGTTCTTTCATCTACAAAATAGGAAGGGTAATTCTCTCCTCCTAAAAATTGCTGTGAGTGTTAAATAAAATACGTCTGCAAAGCATTAAGCATAATTCGTAGCCTATAGTAAATATTCAGTAGGTGATGGTTCTTTCAATTCACCCTCTCTCACTGCCCCTCTGTAGAAAGTAGCAAAAGTTCCTCTTCAAAGCTTTCCTCTCTGTTTTTTGATGTTTGTTTTTTGTTTTGAGACAGAGTCTTACTCTGTCTCCCAGTCTGGAATGCAGTGGAGAGATCTTGGCTCACTTGCAACCTCTGCCTCCCGGGTTCAAGCAATTCTCCCGCCTCAGCATCCTGAGTAGCTGGGATTACAGTTGTGTGCTACCATGCCCAGCTGATTTTTGTAATTTTAGTAGAGATGTGGTTTCACCCTGTTGGTCAGGCTGGACTCGAACTCCTGAACTCCTGATTGTCCTGCCTTGGCCTCCCAAAGTGCTGGGTTTACAGGCATGAGCCACTGTGCCTTTTTTTTTTTGATGGAGTTTCGCCCTTGTTGTCCAGCCTGGAGTACAGTGGCACGATCTCAGCTCTTTGTAACCTCTATTTCCCGGGTTCAAGTGATTCTCCTGCCTCAGCCTATTGAGTAGCTGGGATTACAGGCACAGGCCACCAGGCTTGGCTCAGTTTTTTTTTGTATTTTTAGTAGAGACAGGGTTTCACCATGTTGGTCAGGCTGTTCTCAAACTTCTGACTTCAGGTGATCCACCTGCCTTGGCCTCCCACACTGCTGGGATTACAGGCGTGAGTCACTGTGTCTGGACTTTCACTTAGTTTAAGAATAAATAATAAGTATTAGGAATAATAGCTTCTTTAAAGATTAATTTACTCTAAAGCCTCCTTACCTTTTTGCTAATAATTCTTTTGTTAAGTCTGAAATATCTATCACCAGTAATAAAAGGATAGATACATTCTGTATTCATAGCTCTTATACTTTGGCCCAGTTATGTGCTCTGGATTGCTCAGGCATGTCCGGACAAGCCCAGGCAGGTCTCAGTTCATAGCTCATGTGCCTTCCTTGTTTGGAAATGTTATTGTTTCTTTAAGTCTTTCTCAGGCAGCTTCCTCTTTTCCTTTGTTCTCCACTGCCTATTTAGGAAAGTTTTAAATTGTTAGCCAGTTGGGTTTTAGCTTAGATTGTGAGTTTCGGCACCAGCCAATGGATGCGGGACACAGCAGTAAGGACCCAATGAGAAAGGGATAAATATTGCTGTCTTTCCTTTGTTCATTGCACTCTTGTGGCAAGACTGCTGGTGAATAGTGCCCTTTCTGCAGAAGGTAAAGTTGCCTTGCTGAGAAAACTCTTTGAATGCTAATTCTTCCTTGTGACACCAGAGAATAAGCACTTACTTCTAACAATTTTTGGGGGCCCATACAGGGCACCATTCCACTCCAGGGAGGTCTAGATCTGCTCTCACGAGGAGGCATGCCCTTCTGCCTTGTTGTGGCAGCCTCAGGGGTTGAAAGCTGGGACCCACCTGGTGTGAGGAATAAACCCAGACTCTCAGCAATGTGGTGGAAAAAGGCTTGCAACACCGAGCAACCAGGCAACTCTGTGCCCAGACCAAGGTAGGAAATGTCACAAGGGAGTGACAAAATATTTCCTTGGTGGTCAGGATTCTGGAGGTTGAACGTGTGTGTAAATGATCAGAGGTACCACTGCTTGTGGTGCTTCCTGTGTGATTGGTGATAAGCCCTACTGCTGGGTGGAGTGAGTAGGTGATCTCTGTGGTTCCATGGTTACCTCATATGGCTAATTGTGGCCCTCTTGTAGGGATTCTGACATTGGAGGTTTATACGGTCCCGCCAATGCTAAAAGAACCTAATTTCCCTCAAGAGAAGTGGCCAGAGATGACGAAGTGAAAGGAATAGAGTGGAAGAGACCTTGGGGGGGTGGGGGTGGGGAAGTGCTTAGGAAACTCTTCCCCGGAAGAGAAAGGCAGGAAACACCTCAAGCATGCAAGGCTAAGCCTTGAGCAAGCCAGAAAAGGGGTAGGCGAGAAATCTTTTGGTCAGCAACAGGTTGAGCCTAACCGGTACTCAGTATGGAGAATGTTCCTAGTAAAACAGGGACAGGAAGTAAAATGGAGACAAGAAAAGATGAGGGTGATCAAATCCCCTCTGACCGTCCTTTAGGGCATATGTTAAAGCACTGGAAGGACGATGAAAGGACTAAACATAATGAAAAAGCAATACATGATAAAGTATTGCTGTTTTATTTGGACCAAATGAAGGAATAAAACCTTTTGGTTCAAAAGGGAGATTTCTGGAAACACTAGCATGGGAAAACGTCAACACGGGTACTTCTTTTTTTTTTGAGACAGAGTTTCACTCTTACTACCCAGGCTGGAGTACAATGGCGTGATCTCAGCTCACCGCAACCTCCGCCTCCTGGGTTCAGACAATTCTCCTGCCTCAGCCTCCTGAGTAGCTGGGATTACAGGCATGTGCCACCATGCCCAGCTAATTTTTCGTATTTTTAGTAGAGATGGGGTTTCACCATGTTGACCAGGATGATCTCGATCTCTTGACCTCGTGATCCACCTGCCTCGGCCTCCCAAAGTGCTGGGATTACAGGCGTGAACCACTGCACCCAGCCCAACACGGGTACTTCAACCATATCGGGAGGCTGTGTTCAGAGTTTTGGTAAGCAACTGAAAATTACTGTTTATCTACATCCTGATACTGCCTGCCAGTTCAATAGAAAATGAGGAAACAACCACCAGAAAGGAAAAATGAGGTGACTCAAGGTCACAAGCCTTTTGGCTACTGAGGACTAGGTGGCAAACACCTGACAACTCAAGAGTCTTGAGCTGCCAAGCCAATCAGGTAAAAAGGATAAAAAAAACCACCGTTCGGAAGGAGGATTGAAAATATACACCTTCCATTGGACAAAAAATCTGGCAAAAGAGGAAATTACTTGGGGATATAAGCCCAGGCAGCCCTGACCGACATCGGCAGGTCCCCTTCCATGCTGTGGAAGCTTTTTGCTTGCTCAGTAAATTGCATTGCTGCTCACTCTCTTGGTTTGCAAACACTTGTTTAGAGCTGTAACACTCACCATGGGGTTAAGGCTCTCTGCTCAATTCCTCAAGCAAGGGAAGCCTAGAAGCTGAGTCCCAAGCCCAAGCTGGGCAGGAAAAAAGGCCCTTCTCAGGGCCATCCTTGGACCCAGCAACTGTATTGTTGGCAACAGACTTCGTGAGCCAGCAAGGAGCAACATTCAGTCTCCTGCACAGTGAGTAACTTGGACCTCTTTCGCTTGCTATTCTTTTTATATTCTATAGAACATACTGGAGGTAAAATACTGGGCACCTGTCAGCCAGTTAAAAGCAACTAGCGTGGCTGCCAGACTAAAGACATGGATGTGGGGCTCTCTGGGAATGGGTCTCTAACAAGCCCCAGCCTTTTGAGGTTGGGAGCGTTGGTTTGCCTGGAAGCAGTTCCTGCTCTTATCTCCTTCTGGGTATTGAAGCCAAGGGTAGGCTGGGGACAGCAAGCAGCAGTTCTGGACTCCTGGTCTAATCCAGTTGAGACCAAGGCCCTGCTTGAAATCCCCAAAGCAAAGCTACCCATGCGAGCTCTACCCACTTTGCTAGATCCTAACCTCCTGGGTCCCTCTATCTTCTTAGAAGCCTTCTTCCCCATTTTCTCTCACAAGTTTCTTCCTATAGACCAAGCCAGAGCCCTCCTCTATAGGTCCCTATGACTTTTGAGGTGGCAACTTCAGATCCCCTGTTCTTGGTGTCCTCCAGCCTTTAAGAAAAGAAATACTGAGCTGGGCGCAGTGGCTCACACTTGTAATCCCAGCACTTTGGGAGGCTGAGGCGGGTGGATCACAAGGTCAGGGGTTTGAGACCATTCTGGCAAACATGGTGTAACCCCGTCTCTACTTAGAAATACAAAAATCAGCTGGGCATGGTGGCGCATGCCTGTAATCGCAGCTACTTGGGAGGCTGAGGCAGGAGAATCACTTCAACCCAGGAGGTGGAGGTTGCAGTGAGCTGAGAGCACACCATTGCACTCCAGCCTGGGTGACAGAGCAAGACTCCGTCTCGAAAAAAAAAAAATGAAAGAAAGACTGACCAGGGAGTATTTTAAGGGACCTGTCTCTCACCTTGGCCCTTGGTCTTCAAATCAGAATGTGTTTCCTAGGATGATAGAGGGAGCTATGCGGGTCCTAGAGGCAGTGGACCATTTTGCCTTCTCCTCCCCAGAAAGCCCAAGCTGGGCATGGAGAAAGGCCTTCTCAGGGCCATCCTTGGACCCCGCAACCGTATTTCCGGCAACACAAGGAACTGATCCTCAAGCCTGCTGTTGTCTGGCCAAACTTTGGGCTGGATGAGGAGTGGGTCTGTTAGCTTCTAATAATGTATGTTAACAACAAAAGCCTTATCTCACAAGAAGAAATAGTCTATGCTCTATGCTGGAGAGGAGGGCCTGTTCTTCTTTACCCTTTAAAGGCTGTTGGAAAAGAAGCAGAGAATAACAAAAAGTCAGAGGTTAACTCATTTGAAAAAGGTGAGGTTTTTACTCATGAGCAACCTGCAAGTAAATGGGACCCCCTTGACCATCTTTCCTGGTTTCTTAATCCTAACCCACCTACTCCTTCACAGGTGGCCACTGTTTTCCCAGATCCAGAACCATAACTCCCTACCCCTATTATTCCTCCCCCATATAACCCAGACTCTTGGGAGCTGTCACCTCAGGAGCCTGATCATTGCCGGCCTGAGTGTCCTTCTTTGAAGAAGGGACTCCTGCAAGAAATAGAACAATGTAAAAGAGATATTCAAAGTCTCCTACCTCTAGGGAATCAGCTTAAAGCTTTTTCCATAAAGAAGGTGCCTCAGGGAAGAGGTGCAGTTGGCTTTGTGAATGCCCCCATAACTGCTTCCAAAGAACTTAAGCTGCTATTAGATGATCCTGATGGAGTGATAAGAACAAATTGGCCAATGTTTAGGCCCCCAGTTATATACTTGGACTGAATTAATGTCCATCCTAGGTATTCTCTGTTCAAAGGAAGAGCAGAATATGACCTGCAGAGCTGCTATGGCAGCCTGAGAGCATGAACACCCTTTCAGTCAAAATGGCCCAGCAGCAGACTCTAAGGTCCAGCTCAGGACCCACAGTGGGATAATAATATCCCAGCCCACTGGGACGACATGAAAGATTTAAGAGAAATGATAATTAAAGGAATTGAGGAGTCAGTGCCCTGATCTCAAAATCTTTCTAAAGCTTTTGATATACAGCAAGAAAAAGATGAAGGATCTGTGAAATTTTTAGACAGAGTGAGAGAACAAATGAGAAAATACACTGATTAGGCCCAGAAAGGCCCCCTGGACAAGGAATGTAAAAATTGCATTTTGTTACTAATAGTTGGCCAGATATTGCAAGGAAATTGCAAAAGCTAGAGAACTGGAAAAATTGGTCAATAGAAGAACTCTTAGGAGAAGCCCAGAAAGTATATGTTGGAAGAGATGAAGAAAGGCAAAAGCTGAAGGCAAAAATCTTTTGTCGAAGTTCACCAGGACAAATGATACCAGGGGCTACATTTAGACCCATGCCTGCAAAGCTTTCTAAAGGTGGTGAAAGAGGAAGGTCCTGGAATTGAGGAATGCAAAAGGAGAGAGGGCAAAGCCAGCATGTTAGAGGAGAAAGTCAAAGTACGTAATGCAAAGGCTGTGGCTGTGAAAGAAGGGAAGAGAGACAAAGAGAGGCCCTGTGCTTGGGAGTGAAGGAGGACAGGACAGATGCTACAGATGTGAAAAGCCAGGCCTTTTCAAGAGGGAATGTCCTGAATCAGAGAATGAGAGGAAGCTCTTCCACTCATGCCTACTTGTGAGGAAGAAGAGTAGGGTGGTTGAAACTCTTATCTTTTCTATTTTGAGTCCCACCAGCAGCGCTTGATAAATTGAGAGGTGGGACCCAAATGTGAATTAATCACCTTTTTCATTGACGCAGGAGTGGCTCATTCTTCTATTTGTTTTCCCCCAGCTGATTTAACTAGTTCTCCAGTGGAATTGCTAGTCTCTGGGGTAAAAGGGAAGCATTTAAAGGAAATGTTTTAGAAAACACTGAGGTGAAATACAAAGACCAGTCAACTTGCATTCAACTTTTATTTAATTCCAGAAGCAGGAAATAATCTGTTAGGAAGAGATTTAATGTTAAAGCTAGGCATAGGTCTACAAGTTAGCACAAAAGGTTTGCTCTCTCCCTCTCTCCCTCCCTCCTTCCTTCCTTCCTTCGTTTCTTCTTTCCTTTCCTCCCTCCCTCACCCTTCCTCCCTCCCTCCTTCCTTCCTTCTTTCCTTTCCTCCTTCCCTCCCTCACTCTCTCGCTTCTCCTTCCTTCTTTCTTTATTGACAGAGTTGCACTCTGGTTGCCCAGGCTGGAGTGCAGTGGCCTGCTCTCAGCTCACGTCAACCTCTGCCTCCCAGGTTCAAACGATTCTCCTGCCTCAGCTTCCTGAGTAGCTGGGACTATAGGCATGGGCCACCAATCCTGGCTACTTTTGCTTTTTTTAGTAGAGACAGGGTATCTCCATGTTAGTCAGGCTGGTCTCGAACTCCCGACCTCCGGTAATCCACCTGCCTGTGCCTCCCAAAGTGCTGGGATTATAGGCGTGAGCCACTGTACCTGGCCATGGTTTTCTAACCTCTCTAAATTAACTGACTACAGTATATGAAAGTGCATTCATCCTGATGTCTAGTCAAAAGACGGAAATTGGAACCATAATTCATAGCCTATAGTAAACTTTCAATAGTTGATGGTTATTTCAGTTCATGCCATCTCTCACTGCCCCTTCTCCCGTAGCTCTGTGAGCCTCTGCCCCTGGGAACAGGAAATCAAGTCTGCTGGGTTCCAAGAGTGGGTTAGTTTTGGGTTTCACTTAATCTGAGAGGCCGTTCTGCAATTGGAGCCCTCGCAGGGGCCAAACTGATATAAATCTGCTTAGGAGGCGGGATTCAGAGGCTGCAGGATGGAGCTGCTGCTGCTGCTGCGGTGGACGCGTTGCACCTGTGCACAGACAGATGGCCAGAACAGCTACAGGCCGGTCATCCAAGTGACTAACGGGGGTCCCTGGGGTGACTGGGACTGGCCTGAGATGTGTCCTGATGGACTCCTCTCCTGCGGGTTCTCGCTCAAGTTTGGGGCTCAGGCCTAGGTCCTGGAGAGGGCGGAGATGCTTGAGACCACCCAGCCAAGGATGGCAATTCCATGACTCGTCCTTGCTCCTCTCCTCGATACCCAGGTGGAGCCTCCCCAAGGTCGTGGCGACGACACGGCACTAAATGGGATTAGGCTGCACTGCGCGCTCAGGAACGCCCTAGGAAATGCACACGCGACAGAGTCCAAGTCTGGAAGGTGGGGCACAGGGGCCAAGGATCCCCGGGGTGACGGTATGTCCCTTACCTTCTATGACACACTGCATCGCGACAGGCAGGCTAGCTCCTCCAGGGCTATAGGGCAGTATAGGCCAGTATAGACCGGGGTTGGGGGTGGAGGTCAGAGAGCTAGACCCAGCTTACCAGGGTGTGTCGACAGCACTTGGCTTGGAAAGTCCCAAGAGGTGATCGGCCTGTTGGTCAACGGGGGCGCCCGCAAAGCCAGCGCATCTCCATTTCCCTTGCAGGTGGGGCGAGTGGAATGAGCCATCGTGGTGTCCCGGCAGCAGCTTCCTGGTGGCTTTCTCGCTTCGCGTGGAACCACCTATCAGGAAAGGTGATGACACAGCAGCGAACAACGTGCGCTTCCGCTGTTCAGACGGCAAGGAACTGGAGGGGCCTGGGCTGAGCTGGGGAGACTTTGGAGACTGGAGTCCCCCTTGCCCCAAGGGTGTGTGTGGCCTGCAGACCAAGATCGAGGGGCCTTTGGGCTCCGGCGATGACATTGCACTGAACGACGCGCTCTTTTTCTGCTGCCGCAGTTGAAAGGCGCACGCAGCTGCATCTCTCTTCTGGGCCGGGAGGCTAGTCCCACCTCCTGCTATTAAAGCTTCTCCAAGCTGACTTTGGTTTCACCTGTTTTAGAGATGGGGAACTGCGTCTTCTTTCTCCCTCCTAACTTAGCATTTGGCGAGGCATACATTTGGGTTTGGTCTCAGGGGTCCATGGTAGATTGCTGAAAGATATGGACTCATAGTCCAGAAAAACACACTTAAACACACTGTCCACACAAAGTACAAAAATTAGCAGGGTGTGGTGTTGTGTGCCTATAGTCCCAGCTATTCAGGAGGCAGAGGCAGGAGGATTGCTTGAGCCCTGGAGGTCGAGGCTGCAATGAGCCAAGATGAGGCCACTGCACTCCAGCCTGAGTGACAGTGATACCCTGTATCCAAAAAAAAAAAAAAAAAAATCTACCAAATTAGGAGGTGACAAGGCCACAATGGCTTTACAGTTTCGTTTTCTAGAGTTTAAGAGACTACAGTGTCTTTTCCATAGTTTTCATTATTTTTGCCTACAAAACCCAAACAGTAGTCTTCCTAAATACTGATTTTTTGTTCAAGACCTTTGTCCTTGCTGTTCTCTCTGCCTATAATCCCCCAAATATCCAGATGGTTAGCAAGCCCACCAGATCTTAGCTCAAATTTAATTTTCTCAAAGTTTCCCTATCATAAAAGAGAATCTCTCCATTAGTCAATATCAATCCCATTAACATGCTTTTAAAAAATGCTTATTGGCCAGGCACGGTGGCTCACACCTGTAATCCCAACAGTTAGGAAGGCTGAGGTGGGAGAATTGTTTTTGCTCAAGAGTTCAAGACCAGCCTGGGCAGCATGGTGAAACCCCGTCTCTACAAAAAATACAAAAAAATTAGCAAGGGATGGTGGCATATGCCTGTGGTCCCAGCTACTTGGGAGGCTGAGATGGGATGATCGCTTGAGCCCAGAAGGTGGAGGATACTGTGAGCCGATATCATGCCACTGCCTTCCAGCCTGAGTGATAGAGTGAGACCCTGTCTTAAAAAAAAAAAAAAAAAAAAAAAGTATTTTTTACCTATTGAAATAATTTTTTGCTCCTTTTAACAATTAATTGCCTATCTTCCACCCTTGGAACGCCAAGTTGAGAGCACAGAACTTGTCCCTCTTGTTTACCATCGTTATTTCCAGCACAACCAAATAGCTCAGTATTTATTTATTTTGAGACAGAGTCTCACTCTGTCGCCCAGGCTGGAGTGCAGTGGCACGATCTCGGCACACTGCAATCTCTGCCTCCCGGGTTCATGCAATTCTCCTGCCTCAGCCTCCGGAGTGGTTGGGACTACAGGTGTGCGCCACCATGCCCGGCTAATTTTTGTATTTTTAGTGGAGACAGGGTTTCACTATGTTGGTCGGGCTGGTCTCGAACTCCTGACCTCAAGTGATCCACCCACCTGAGCCTCCCAAGTGTTGGGATTATGGGCATGAGCCACCACACCTGATCTATTTGTTAAGAAAGTAAGACCAGGCGCGGTGGCTCACGCCTGTAATTCCAGCACTTTGGGAAGCCGAGGCTGGTGGATCACGAGGTCTGTAGTTTGAGACCAGCCTGGCCTATATGGTGAAGCTCTGTCTCTACTAAAGATACAAAAATTAGCCAGGCGTGGTGGCAGGCACCTGTAATCCCAGCTACTAGGGAGGCTGAGGCAGAAGAATCGCTTGAATCTGGGAGGCAGAGTTTGCAGTGAGCGGAGATCATGCCACTGAACTTCAGCCTGGGCGACCATGCAAGACTCCGTCTCAAAAAAAAAAAGTAACAAGTGGAGTGCAGGGGCCCCAAAGCCCACAATCTGAGACAGGGAAGAGAGCTCAAAGCAGTTTATTCTAGCGAGCCAGGGAGTGAGCGGGCCACGCAGGCATCCAGGAGGGAGCAGGTGTAACCCGGCGGTCAGTGGAGCCTCAGTGAGGGGTGTCCTGCGGAAAAGAGAAGGTGAGAACGCAGCCAGGACCAGGCAGATTCCCTCTACAACTCCACCCCACGCCATCCCACCTTTTTTTTTCTGCAATCGCCACAGAAGACACCGATGATCGCGTTCACCAGCTGGATCCCACACAGTACCATCTCCAGACACGAGGCGGCCACCAGCAGCGAGAAGAGCGTCACGTTCCAGGGGACCACGCGAGGGGGCGCCTCGCACCAATCCCATAGAGTGCGGTTGAGCAAGTAGGCTCCCCTGTGGGCGGGGCAAGGTCACGTGGGAGAGGCGGCATGCGCGTGCGCTACTCCCCACCCCTCCCCAGCCCCGGGAACGAGTCCCAGGGGATTTGCAAAGGCCGGGGTGGCCCACGTGGAGCGAGCGCTGGCGAAGCCGAGTCCCACCCAGTTGTCCCAGTCCACGGGGTAAGGGCCGGAGGGAAGAGGCAGAGAATGGAGGGCACGAATACAGGCTAAGCCTTACGCGGTGTCTTCGAAGTGGTAGCCCCACTGGCCTTTCATTGAGCATCTGGGTCCATTTCGGAGCCCAGCTCCAGACACCGAGAGGCAGTAGATGGCACCAAGCACCCCAAACGCGGAGGAGAAGACGGAGCGCAGCATCTGAATATGGCGTGGAAGGGGAGGTAAGGCCCAATGCCCCCACCTGTGGGTGACAGCGTTCAGCACCAGCCCTCACACATCGAGCTCTGCTCCAGTCAGGTGGAAATTAATTTTAATTTTATTTATGTATTTATTTATTTTAGACAAAGTCTTTTCTGTCGCCCAGTCTGGAGTGTAGTGACACGGTCTCACTCTCACTACAACTTCTGTCTCCCTGGTTCAAGCCATTCTCATTTCTTTCTTTTTTCTCTACACAGCCTAACAGAATGAAGCCATTCTCGTTCCTTTAGCCTCCCAGGTAGCTGGGATTACAGGCGCCGGCCACCACGCCTGGCTAATTTTTATATTTTTAGTAGAGATGGGGTTTCACCATATTGGCCAAGCTGGTCTCGAGCTCCTGGCCTCAGGTGATCTGCCCTCCTTGGCCTCCCAAAGTGCTGGGATTACAGGCGTGAGCCACTGTGCCCAGCCTCAAGTCAGATTTAATTTATTCTTTTTTTTCCTTTTAAAAACAGGAATCGGGTTAAATCAGTGTTTGTTTTTTTTTTTTTAATTTCTTCTTTTTTTTTTTCTTTTAAAAACAGAGTCAGATTTAAAATACATTTCCGGGGCCAGGCACGGTGGCTCACACCTGTATGTATGTATGTGTGTGTGTATGTGTATGTATATATATGTAATATATATACATGTATATATATATATATATACACATATATACATTTCTTGTCAAATGTATATATGTATATATATACATTTGTATGTATGTATATATATGTATACATATATATACATGTATATATATGTATACATTTCTTGTCAAACCCCTGACTTGGAGTTAGCCTAGCCCTAAGAGCCAGTGGCCACTGAGGTTCAGCAGGATTATAGTCTCCCCTTGCCCCCCAACTCCCATACCCCTCTGGATCATTGAGATTTGAGATTTGCCGGTGCCAGGCAGGGGTAGCGTGGAGCCTGGGACTCACAGAGGAGTTTGTATAGGTAGAAATTCCATAGAGAGTACCGTGGCTCTGCAAGAACATGTGTGGAAACTGAGTCTGAATTTCTTTTTTTTTTTCTTTTTTTCCCTGTGAGACAGGGTCTCACTCTGTCGCCCAGGCTGGAGTGCAGTGGTGTGATCACTGTTCACTGCAGCCTCGACCACCTGGGCTCAAGCGGTCCTCGCACCTCAGCCTCTCAAGTAGCTGGGATTGCAGGTGTGTGCCTCCACACCCAGCTAATTTTTGTATTCTTAGTAGAGACAGGGTCTTGCCATGTTGCCAAGGCTGGTCTAGAACTCCTGGGCTCAAGCCATCCTCCTCACCTCGGCCTCCTAAAGTGTTGGGATTACAGGCATGAGCCACCACACCCAGCCCGGAATTCCTTCTTGATTTGGATCTTACCCTGCAGCGATTTCCACAGCACCCAGCGCCGCAGCAGCCCTTGCCTCCTGCACGCACAGCTGCAATTCCCGGACACAGAACCTGTGGGACAAGAGTCATCGTTATAGCATGTCCAGGCCTTGCATCAGTGCTTATGTCCTTCGGGAAGCTGCCTTGACCTAAAGCCCTTTGGACTGTAGAAGACCTTATCTCTGCTTCTCCTGGAGCTCTGCTGGGCTTCACTTTGCTTTATCCTTATTTATGTGCCTACTTTATCTCTGTCCAGACTGTGGTCTCTAGAGGGTAGCACCCAATATCATTATTTTCCCCAATCTTGGCACATAGTAGTTACCCTATTGAATGGATGTCAGGGGGACTACTTCACATGCTATGAATTGATTCCTCTCTCAGGGTCTCAGTTTTGCCCTGTGTAAATGGGTCTGGAAGATCTACCTCACAGGTCTTTTCTCAGGATTTCATGAGAGAACAAGCTGACATGGTGTCAAGACTGGCTCAGAGGCAGGGGGCGGTGGCTCATGCCTATAATCTCAACGCTTTGTGAGCGGAGGTGGGCGGATCACCTGAGGTCAGGAGTTTGAGACCAGCCTGACCAACATGGAGAAACCTTATCTCTACTAAAAATACAAAACTAGCCGGGCATGGTGGCAGGTGCCTGTAATCCCAGCTACTTGGGAGGCTGAGGCAGGAGAATGGCTTGAACCCGGGAGGCAGAGATTGCACTCCAACCTGGGCAACAAGAGGGAAACTCTGTCTTAAAAAAAAAAAAGAAGAAGCCAGACACAAAGGAACATATACTCTATGATTCCATTTGTGTAAAGTTCGAAATAGGCCAAACTAGTCTATGGGGTTAGAAGACAGAATAATTGGGCACGGTGGCTCATGCCTGTAATCCCAGCACTTTGGGAGGCCGAGGTGGGTGGATCACAAGGCCAGGAGTTCGAGACCAGCCTGGCCAACATGGTGAAACTGTGTTTTTACTAAAACTACACAAATTAGCCAGGCATGGTGGTGCATGCCTGTAGTCTCAGCTACTTGGGAGGCTGAGGCAGGAGAACTGCTTGAACCTGGGAGGCGGATATTGCAATGAGCCAAGATCAC